TTTTTGTTGTTGTTTTGTTTTGAAGAGAGGTTGTAAAGGCAGAGGTGCTCAAGTGACGAGGGAACTATCATAAATCATTAGCCTAAGAGGCCTTTAGGTTCTTTTTTAAACAGTTTAACAATGGAAGGGGAGTGGCCAGTTCTCCCAGTTCAGGCTTTCTAGATTTTTTTAGCAAAGCAGTCACAGGCTATTTGAGTCCCAGAAGAGTTGCAAGCTTCAGTAAATGATTCCTAGCTGACTTTCTCTGAAATCTCTCTGAATGTTGTTCCGTCCTGCCTGTAAGAATCTGTGTTTGAATTTACCTTTTTGCCAAGGGGTGTGTTTATGGGATGTTACTACGTTGGAACAGTTAATTAGTTAAGTTACTATATCGAGTTTTCAGTTGAGTTTTCCAAAAGTTATGGTATTCGCAATTCCATTTTCTTTTGTTAGTGTTTTAACTGTAGTGTTTAAATGAGTTGTGTTTTACCTAATGCCGAGTGGTTTGACCAATTGCATCGCGCCTGGAAAACCCATTTTAGATCTACCTGAAAATAAGAAAAATTTAGGGTCTAGGCTACCTTCTTAAAATATTTTGAGGGGGTCCGGCCTGGTCCATAACAAACCGGGGGCTGTTGACAGGATAGTTTTTTAATTCCAATTTGGGTTTAGGGTTGTTGGTAGGTGTTAGTGCCTTTTGTTTCGGGTGTTGAATTCGTTTGGTTTAAACTGTGCTTTGTGTAGTAATGGCTCTTTCGGTCAATAGAAGTTTTCTGGGGGTGGAAGAAGTAACTTTGCAAAAAGTGAGCAAGGCAAAGCTGTTGGAATTGGCATACAAGCTGGAGTTGGGGTTGCCTTTGTCTGTGAGGAAAGAAGAGGCAATTATAGCAGTAGCTCGCTATTTAAATTTGATGGAAATGCCATCAGAATCTTTGGAAATGGCTAGAATTCAATTGCAGATGAAGCACCTTGAACATGAAAAGGAACTGAAACAGTTTGAATTACAATTAAAAGCAGAGGAAAGAGAAAAGGAAAGAATAGCCTGGAAGGGAATAGATAAGATAGAAGTAGAGAGGATGTTTCCACTGGCAGGTGAAGCTAGGACAAGAGGGCATAGCCTCAAGATTAGAGGGAGCAGATTTAGGACTGAATTGAGAAGGAATTTCTTCACCCAGAGGGTTGTTAATCTATGGAATTCCTTACCCAGTGAAGTAGTTGATGCTACTTCAGTAAACGTCTTTAAAAAAAAGGTAGATTTTTTTTGAACAATAAAGGAATTAAGGGATACGGTGAGAACGCAGGTAAGTGGATCTGAGTCCATGAAAAGATCAGCCATGATCTTATTGAATGGCGAAGCAGGCTCGAAGGGCCAGACGGCCTACTCCTGCTCCTAGTTGTTATGTTTCTTATGTTATGTAAGAACAAAAAGAAAAGGACAGAATAGCCCTAGCAGAACAAAAAAAGGACAGAATAGCCCTGGCAGAACAAAAAGAAAAGGAGAGGAAGGCCCTAGTACAAGAAAGGGAGAAAGAGAAAGAAGAAAAGCAGAAAGAGAGAGAGATAACAAGGTGTAGAGCTGGATGAACACAGCAGGCCAAGCAGCATCAGAGGATCAGGAAGGCTGATGTTTCGGGCCTGAACCCTTCTTCCTGCGAAGAAGGAGGAAGGGTCTAGGCCCGAAACGTCAGCCTTACTGCTCCTCTGATGCTTCTGCAGTTCCTACTATCTCAGAAAGAGAGAGAGTTTGAACTTCAGAAGTTGACCATTATACAGAAAAGTCATCTTAAAAGGATGAAGGTGAGAAGGTTGGTTTAGGACGATAGTGATGATGAGCAAAACCGTCATAGCCAAAGGCCTGGTGACAAACTGTTTAAATATATCTAAGCATTGCCTAAATTTGATGAGAGGATGTGGGAGCCTTTTTCATCTCATTTGAGAAAGTGGCTAAAGAAAAGAAGTGGCTGGTGATCATTGGGTTTTGTTCATCCAAACAAAGTTGGTAGGTAGAGCTATTTGCAACACTATCAGAGGATGTATCTGGGGAGTATGAGAAGGTGAAGAAAGCCATCCTAAAGGCATATGATCTAGTGCCAGAAGCTTGCAGACGACATTTCAGGAATCTAAGGAGGGACCCTGGTCAAAGATACATTGAGTTTGAAAGGATCAAACAAAGTGTGAAGGATAGAAATTGGGGCAAAAAGAAATCCTCAGGCAGTAAGGGAATACTAGATCTCATTGAAGATAGTTTATCACAGGATAAAACAGAAACCCATGAAGGGGAAAGACAAGCAAAAAAGCTTTCACTGCAATAAAGTAGGCCACATAAAGTCATGGTGTTGGTCGTTTAGAAAAAGCACTGGAAAGATGGATGTAGGAAAACAGGATAAGCCAGTGAGTTTTGTTAAGGTGGTAAAGGAAAGCACAATGAAGGCTAAAAAGCTGCACCAGAATGTACAACCTGGTCAGGGGTTGGTTGAGAAGGAAGTGCTAGATTTTCTTAGATAATTTACTTGCAAAGGTAAGTCTTAATCACAGAGGCCAGGAGCAGCAGGTAAAGAAGTTACAGTTTTAAGAGATATGGGATCGTGTCAATCTTTGATGTTGAGAGATGAAGAAATATGTAATTCAGAAGGACTATTGCCAGAAAAAGTGCTAGTAAGTGGAATTCATGGTAAGACTAGAAGTGCTGCATTATGTAGAGTGAGGTTGGATTGTTCGGTGAAAAGTGGAGAAATGGTGGTCAGAGTACTGGAGAAACTCTCAGCTCCAGGAATGCAATTTGTCCTTGGTAATGATATAGCTGGATCATGGTAGGAGTGCTGCCTATTGTGGTTGAAAAGCCAGTGCGTCGCACCTGGAAAACCCACTTCAGATCTGCCTTTAAAATAAGAAAAAGTTAGGGTCTAGGCTACCTTCTTAAAATACTTTGAGGGGTTTTGGCCTGGTCCATAACACAAGCCGAAACCAAAGTCTCCCCAACTATCGGGCTGCAGTACACAGATGATGCTTGCATATATGCAGTCTCAGAGGATGTACTCCAGACCATTGTCAGTACTTTTACAGAGGCATAGGAGAGCATGGGTCTCATCCTGCGCATCCGCAAGACAAAACTCCTTCATCAATGTGGCGCAGCATTGTGGAGTGAACCCCCTGATCATTAAGGTCCATAGAAAGGCCTTTGAGAATGTTGACCACTTCCAATACCTTGGGAGTGTCCTGTTAACCAAAGCAGTTATTGATGAAGAGACCCAGCACTGCCTCCATGTGCTCGTGCAGCCTTCGGCCCCCTGAGAAAAAGGGTGTTCGAGGACAACAACATCAGATTCAACATGAAGATCATGGTTTACAGAGCTGTGGTGGTTCCTGCTCTCCAAATAGCTCTGAGACATGGACTGTCTGCAGCAGACACCTTAAGGCACTGGAGCAGTGCCACCCATGCTGCCTACACAAGATCTTGCAAATCCACTGGGAAGAGAAATGTACTAATACCGGTGTCCTTGACCAGGCCAACATCCCTGGCATTGAGGCATTGACCACCCTTGATCGACTACGATGGGCTGGGCACGTCATCTGCATAACTGATACGAAACTCCCTAAGCTGGAGCTCCTGCTTCGAAACAGCAGGCAAGCCCCAGGTGGACAGAGGAAGCACTTCAGGGATACCCTCAAGGCTTCACTGGTGAAGTTCAGCATTACCACAGACACCTGGGAATCACTGGTCCGAGACTGTCCAAAGTGGAGGACCATCTGGGAAGGTGTCAAGCACCTTGATACTTGCTGTCCAGTAAAAATGGAAGCCAAGCAAAAACAGCGTAAGGAGCAGGCTGCCACACCAATGCTGCACCCACCCCTTCCTGTGACCACCACCTGCCCCAAGTGTAGCAGAGTCTGCGGAAGCTGCATCAGTCTGTACAGCCACCCATGGACGCACCCTGAGAGTGGAAGGGAGTCATCCTCATCATTGAGGGACTGCCGATGATGATGAATCTATTATTCTGTTAGGTTTTCCAATAGAGTTAAGGTTAATACCAATTCTTCTTTTTTTCTTTTGTTTGTATTTTAACTGGGGTTGAGAATATATTGTGTTTTGCTTAAAGCTGAGCAGTAAGACCAATCAAAGTATAATGCCAGGGACCTGGGTTTGATTCCACCCTCGGGCGACTGTCTGTGTGACGTTTGCATGTTCTCCCTGTGTCTGCACCGGTTTCTTCCGGATACTCTGATTTCCTCCCACAGTCTAAAGATATTCATCATAGGTGGGTTAGCCATGGGAAATGCAGAGTTACAGGGATAGGGTAGCGGTGTGGTTCTGGGTGGGATAGTTTTCAGATGGTCGCTGTGAACTCAATGGGCCGAGTGGCCTGCTTCCACATTGTAGGGATTCTACGATTGGTAGAGCTTTTTTCTGTTACTAGTGAAACCTGATGTGACTTGCTTTTTTCCTTGAGTAGCTGTCCACCAGCCAAATTGTTTATCTGATGAGGAAAGGTTGGACAGGTGGGCTTGTACCCATTGGAATTTAGCAGAGTGAGAATTAATCTGATCAAAACATATAAGTTCCTGAGGCAGTCAATACAGTGTGGAGCTGGCAGAACACAGCAGGTCAAGGCAGCATCAGAGGAGCAGCAGAGTTAACGTTTCGGGTCGGGATCATTCATCAGGACTCCTGATGAAGGATTCCAACACGAAACGTTGACTGTCTTGCCCCTTTGATGCTGCCTTGACCTGCTGTGTTCCTCAGCTCCACACGGTATTGACGCTGACTCCAGCATCTGCAGTTCTTGCTATTTCCAAGTTCCTGAGCGAATGCTGAAAGGATGTTTCCTCTTGCGGGAGTGACTATAACAAGGGGACAAAATTTAAAAATAAGGAGTCTGAGGGCCATGAATTTTTGGAACACTCTTTCCTTGGAGTTGGTGGGATCATTGAATACTTTTAAGACAGCAGTAGATAGGTTCACAATCAACGAAAGAGTCAAAAGTTATCAGGGTTTCAGCAGAAATGTGGAACTGAGGCCACAATCAGATCAGCCATGATTTTATTGAATGACGCAGCAGACTATAAGGACTGACTGGCATACCTCTGCTCCTAATTTGTCTGTTCATAACACTACAGCAATGCCACCTCTAACCATGTTTTCCACAGGGTCAATAAGCACTGTCTATTCTTTAGGCATAGTATTTATACAGGAATAGGATTTGTTTGCAATGTCAGTGAAAAAAATCATAAGCTTTGTATCTAATATTTTATTTTTAAGATTGTAAACTTTGATGGCATGATGGTTCATACTGCTGTCCAGTCCACATTCCAAGGAGGAAACTTGCTCTCCTTGATAAAAACAACACTTTAAAGTCAGTAGACCAAGACACGGCTTCTTGTTTTTCTGTCGTGGATATTTTTAAGCCAACATGAATCATTCAGTTTTTTCAGCCTGCAACCAAGTGGTTTTCTGTAATTGGTGGTGCTCTCCATCCAGCTACTAATCAGGCATTCTAGCCTCATACCACACCCTCAGTCTGCAGCCAGCTCAGATGCAGCATCAGATACACCCTCATTACCTTCTGCTAAACTAAGGGAATCGAGACCAAAAGCTTCTGTCACAGGGGCATTTGTTTCAGAAGTATCTGCCTCTGCAACATCTGCCAATGGAGCATCTGCCAATGGAGCATCTGCCAATGGAGCATCTGCCTCTGGGACAATTGCCTCCGGGGCATCTACCTCTGGGGCAACTACCTCTTGGGCATCTACCTCTGGGGCATCTACATCTGGGGCATCTACATCTGGGGCATCTAACTCTGGGGCATTTGCCTCTGGGGCATCTGCCTCTGGGGCATCTGCCTCTGGGGCATTTGCCTCTGGGGCATCTGCCTCTGGGGCATTTGCCTCTGGTACATCTACCTCTGGTGCATCTACCTCTGGTGCATCTACCTCTGGGGCATCTACCTCTGGGGCATCAGCCGCAGGAGCAGCAGTATCAGCAGCATCTGTCTCAGGAACATCTTTCTCAGCTATGTCAGCAGCCTCTGTATTATCAGCAGCCAGTTCTTCAGCCTCTAACGCGTCGGCCTTTACTTCGGTCTTAAATGCTGGAAAGGAAAAAATGAAACACAAACTATAATTCCATTCAGAGAAACAGAATTTTTTATGGCACAGAAGGAAACCATTCGACTATCTGTATCTTTGCTGGTAGCACTGTGCATTCAGTACCTTCAGTGCATATCCAAGTGTTTCTTAAATATTATCGGGGTTTCTCCTCTCACCTGCCAAGAACACTTTCAGGCAGTAAATTCCAAACACCTTACTCTCTGAATGCAAAAAATACTCCTGACTTTCCTATAGTAACTCCTACCAATGACATTAATTCTCTGTCATCGATAACACAGTGTAGAGCTGGATGAACACAGCAGGCCAGGCAGCATCAGAGAAGCAGGAAAGCTGATGTTTCGGTTCGGAACCCTTCTTCATTTTTTCTGAAGAGGGGTCACGACCCGAAATATCAGCTTTTCAGTTCCTCTGATGCTGCCTGGCCTGCTGTGTTCCTCCAGCTCCACACTGTGTTATCTGACTCCAGTGTCGGCAGTTCTTACTATCTCATTAATTCTCTGTCTGCTGGTTATTGACTGCTCCTTGAAGGAAAAAAAGATATTTCATATCCACTCTATTGAGACTCCTCACAATTTCAATCGCCTAAACTCATTTCCCTTCAGCCTCCTTTGATCCAAAGAAAATAACCCTAGCCTGTCCTCATTGTAAATCTCTCTACCCTTTCGGGTGTGATCACATCTCTCTGTTTTGTGGTGATCAGTTATCTAGGCAGTATTCTTGTTAGTCTGTCATTAATGCCACCCACCTGCCCTAACCGTGCTGTCGTTGATAGAGCTGTCAACTGTTTGCTACCTATTTCCCACACTTCTACCTGAAACCCTTCTCTCCCAAAAAAGCAGGAGGGTTTCCTTTGTTCTCACTTTCCATTCCACCAGCTCTGCCATCTCTGCCACCTCCAGCAGGATGCCACAAACAAACACATTCCTCTCCCCTTCGTTGCCAGCACACTGTAGGAGCTGTTCCCTGCACAACACAGTGGTGCATTCCTCCTCCGTTACTCCCAACACTTTGTCCCTCCTGCCATGGCACCTTTCCATGAGAAGGTGTAACACTTGCCTTTTAACCTCCTCAGTGTCCGAGACAAAAACACATCTTCCAGGCGAAGCAGCAATTTACTTAGATCTTTTTCAATCTAGTCTATTATATTCACTGCTAACAATATGATCTCCTCTATGCTGGCGATACCAAATGCAGACTGGGTGACCATTTGGCAGAACACCTCTGCCCTGTCACAGTAGTGATGCTGACTTTTTGGTCACTTGCCATTTCAATACATCGATTTGCTCTTATGCTAACATTTCTGCCCAATGCCTGCTACAGTGTTCTAGCAACGCTCAATGCAAGCTGAGGAACAGCATCACATTTTTTTGATTTAGGTACTTTACAGCTTTCAGGTCAGGCATTTCTTTCTTCTGTGCACATCTCCAAGGTCTGTGCATAGCAGCAACTTGCAAAATCGGAAGTCAATGATGTGAACTACATCAGTATGCCAATCGCCACATGCAGATCTACGGAGTGGCTGTGCAGCTTCGAGGGAAAGTTGTTAGAAATCAGCCTAGAGCTCAACGAGCTCAACAGCTACAGACCATGAACATTGTCCTTCTTTCTGATTACACATAACCATCCCTCCTGAGTCTTGTTTATTTAGGCTGGCTCTCTGCAGAACTCAGCTAGTTTTTGCTACAAAGCTTACTCTTCTTGTATGACTCTCCTCTGCTCCCAATCATACTCACATTGTCTTTTGCTCTGGGCACAGTTACATAGAAACATGGAAAATAAGAGCAGGAGCAGGCTCTTGAACCCACTCCACCACTGAAAAGGATCATGGCTGATCGTCTATCGCAACTCCATACTTGTGCATTTTCTCCATACCCCTTTACACCTTTGTCTGCTAGAAAACAATGTAGTTCTTTCCGAAATCTATTCCATGACTCCCCTCTACAGCTTTCTATGGTAGAGAATTGCACAGGTTCAGCATCCTCTGAGTGAAGACATTTCTCCTCATTTTAGGGATTTCGGTGTCCTTGTGTATAAATCTGTAAATACTCGCTTACTGGTTCAATGGGTAAAAATGGAAGGCAAATGAAATGTTGGCCATTATTTCAAAGGGAACGAGGTATAAAAATATGGAAGTCTGACTAAAACTGTACAAAGCACTAGTTGGCCCACAGCAGGAATATTGTGAACTGTTCTGGGTGCCTGACCAAATGGACTGCAGCAGTTCAAGAAGGCAGCAAACCACCACTTTCTCAAGGATAACCGGTGATGGGCAATAAATGCTGGCCCAGCCAGTGGTGCCCACATCCCATGAATAAAGAAAAATAATGACCAGAGACAGTTCACTTGGCAAGTTCCGGTTATGGAAGGAATGTGATGAGGAGAAATAAAGCAGGTTGGGCCAGTTCTGATTTGAGTTTAGACATGTGAGACATGACCTTCTTGAAAGATACAAGACTCTTAGGGGACTTGACAAGGTAGATGTAGAAAGATCGTTTCCCCTTGTGAGAAAGTCTAGGACCAGTGGTGTAATGTCAGAATAAGGTGTCAAACATTTAAGACTGATGTGAGGAGGAATTTCACCACGGCAGATGGTGGAATTGGAATTCAAAAAAAAAGTCTGGAATTAAGAATCTACTGATCACCAGGAAATCATTGCCGATTGTCGGAAAAACCCATCTGGTTCACTAATGTCCTTGAGGGGAGGAAATCTGCCATCCTTACCTGGTCTGGCCGACATGTGACTCCAGACCCACAGCAATGTGGTTGACTCTCAACTGCCCTCTGAAATGGCCTAGCAAGCCACTCAGATGTTTCAATCACTACAAAGACTCAAAAAACTGGAACTGGACAGATCACCTAGCATTGACCTAGGCACTGGAAAAGACAACACCAGAAACAGCCCTATCGACCATGCAAAGTCCTTCTCACTAACATCTGCGGGTTAGTGCCAAAATTGGGAGAGCTGTCTCACAGACTAGTCAAGCAACAGCCTGACAAAGTCATACTCACAGAATCATACCTTACAATGTCCCAGGCACTACCATCACCATCCCTGGATATGTCCTGTCCCACCGGCAAGACAGACCCAGTAAAGGAGGTGGTACAGTGGTATACAGTCAGGAGTTAGCTACTCTAGCAGTCCTCAACATTGACTCCGGACCCCATGAAGGCTCATGGCTTCCAGTTAAACATGGGCAAGGAAACCTCCTGCTGATTACCACATACCGTCCTCCCTCACCTGATGAATCAGTATTCCTCCATGTTGAACAACACCTGGAGGAAGCACAGAGGATGGCAAGGGCACAAAATGTACTCTGGGTGGGGGATTTCAATGTCCACCACCAAGAGTGGCTCAGCAGCAGTACTACTGATCGAGCTGGTCGGGTCCTAAAGGACATAGCTGCTAGACTGGGTCTGCGGCAGGTGGTGAGGGAACCAACAAGAGGGCAAAACATATTTGACCTCATCCTGACTAATCTGCCAGCTGCAGTTGCATCTGTCCATGACAGTATCGGTAAGAGTGACCATCACACAGTCCTTGTGGAGACAATGTCCCGCCTTCACATTGAGAACAACCTCCATCGTGTTGTGTGGCACTATCACCGTGCTAAATGGGACAGATTTCGCACAGATCTAGCAACTCAAGACTGGGCATCCATGAGGCGCTGTGGGCCATCAACAGCAGCAGAATTGTACTCCAGCACAACCTGTAACCTCATGGCCCGGCATATCCCCCATTCAACCATTACCCTCAAGCTGGGGGATCAACCCTGCTTCAATGAAGAGTGCAGGAGGTCATGCCAGGAGCAGCACCAGGCATACCTGAAGATGAGGTATCAACCTGGTGAAGCCACCAAACAGGACTACTTGCACACCAAACAGCGAAAGCAGCGAGTGATAGACAGAGCTAAGCGATCCCACAACCAACGGATCAGATCTAAGCTCTGCAGTCCTGCCACATCTAATTAAACAACTCATTGGAGGAGGAGGCTCCACAAATATCCCCATCCTCAATGATGAAAGAGCCCAGCACATCAGTGCAAAAGATAAGGCTGAAGTATTCGCAGCAATCTTCAGCCAGAAGTGCTGAGTGGATGATCCATCTCGGCCTCTTTCAGTGCTCCCCAGCATTACAAATATCAGTCTTCAGCCAATTTGATTCACTCCGCGTGATATCAAGAAACGGTTGGAGACACTGGATACTGCAAAGGCTGCCGGCCCTGACAACATTCCGGCAATAGTACTGAAGACTTGTGCTCCAGAACTTGCCGCTCCCCTAGCCAAGCTGTTCCAGTACAGTTACAACTCTGGTATCTACCCGGCAATGTGGAAAATTGCCCAAGTATGTCCTGTACAGAAAAAACAAGACAAATCCAACCCGGCCAATTACCTCTCGATCATCAGTGAAGTGATGGAAGGTGTCATCAACAGTGCTATCAAGGAGCACCTGCTCAGAAATAACCTGCTCAGTGACACCCAGTTTGGGTTCCAGGACCACTCAGCTCTTGCTCTCATTACAGCCTTGGTTCAAACATGGACAAAAGAGCTGAATTCCAGAGGTGAGGTGAGAGTGACAGCCCTTGATATCAAGGCTGCATTCGACCGAGTGTGGCATCAAGAAGCCCTGACAAAACTGGAATCAATGGGTATCAGGGGGCAAACACTCTGCTGGTTGGAGTCATACCTGACACATAAGAAGATGATCATGGATGTGGGAGGTCAATCATCCCAACTCCAGTACACCTCTGCAGGAGTTCCTCAGGGTAGTGTCCTAGGCCCAACCATCTTCAGCTGCTTCATCAATGACCTTTTCTCCAAGATAAGGTCAGAATTGGGGATGTTCACCGATGATTGTACAATGTTCAGCACCATTTGTGACTCCTCAGATACTGAAGCAGTCCATGTTAACATGCAACAAGATCTGGACAATATCCAGCTGAGAAGTGGCAAGTGACATTCGCACCACACAAATGCCAGGCTATGAACAACACCAGTAAGAGACAATCTAACCACCGCCCCTTGACATTCAATGGTGTTACCATCACTGAATCCCTCACTATCAACATCGTAGGGGTTACCATTGACCAGAAACTCAACTGGACTCACCACATTTCAGGGCGGCTACAAGAGCAGGCCAGAGCTGGGAATACTGTGGCGAGTAACCCACCTCCTGATTCCTCAAAGCCTGTCCACCATATACACGGCACAAGTCAGGAGTGCGATGGAATACTCCCCACTTGCCTGGATGAGTGCAGTCCCAGCAACACTCAAGAAGCTTGACACCATCCAGGACAAAGCAGCCCACTTGATTGGCACTACATCTACAAGCATTCACTCCCTCCACCACTGACGCTCAGTAGCAGCAGTGTGTACTATCTACAAGATGCACTGCAGAAATTCACCAAAGATCCTCAAACAGCACCTTCCAAACCCACGACCACTTCCATCTAGAAGGACAAGGGCAGCAGACACATGGGAACACCATCACCTCCAAGTTCTTCTCCAAGACACTCACCATCCTGACTTGGAAATAGATCGCCATTCCTTCACTGTCGCTGAATCAAAATCCTGGAATTCCCTCCCTAATAGCATTGTGAGTCAACCCACAGCAGGAGGACTGCAGCAGTTCAAGAAGGCAGCTCATCACCACCTTCTCAAGGGCAACAAGGGATGGGCAAGAAATGCTGGCCAGCCAGCGCCGCCCACATCCCACAAATGAAAAAAAAAATCACAACCAAAATGAATCAAAACTACAGAGCTTCAGTCAATCTGCAGAATAAAGGACTGTTCAGTTACCAATGACAACACTACTGGGAACCTCGGCTACGATGGCTGCAATGCTCAATCGTCTGCTCTTCACGAACAATGATTTGTGTGTCTGTTTTTTCAACTCCTGTCTTTCTGTGCTCACCTCTTATTTCTAATTCGTATTTGTTTATTCTGTTACTAGTTTTCTTACATTAAGATAATTAATAAACTCACTTATTTTGGTCATTCAAGAAAGTCTGATTAAATTGGCTTCTTTTAAAACATACGTTCATTTGGGTCTAACTGGAAGGTATCCACTAGAGGAAGAATCTATTTAAAATTAATGTTGTTGCAGACAAATTCATGGATATGAGTGAATAAAGAAGGGGAGCCAGTTCATCTCGATCATAAAGCTGGTTTGGAGAGTTGGTACAGATATGATGGGCTGAATAACTTTGTTTTGCACCGTAACACTTTTGTGATTCTGTGACATTTTTGTTGTTTATCCTTCCTCATCCAAGGATATTATAGTTTGTAATATCCCATCTGGAATCATAACAAATTTGGGAACCTTGCCTGGGACTAGTTGTATGGATTTTTTTAAAGTCTTTCATGGATGTGGGCATTGCTGGCTTGGCTAATGGTTATTACCCATCCTTAATGGTTCTTGAGAAGGTGGTGATGAGCTTTTAATAAAATTATAATCAGATCATAAACTTGGAAATCAAGATAATAGTTATTCTTCCTGATTAATCAATTAATTTTATAGAATTATAAAATGATTACAGCACAAATGGAGGCTATTCATCTATCTTGCCTGAACTTCATGTCTGGAAGAGTAACTCAGCTAGTGACACTGGGGCTTTACAATTTCTTTTCTCTTCAGATTCTAAACTAGTTCCCTTTTAAAGTCACAAATGAAGCTGCAACACCAGATTTCCAGGCTGCACATTCCAGATCCTGACTGCACAATGTGCAAAAGATCTTATTTTTCCATGACTCTGTGTTTCTTTTGTCAATCACCTTTGATCCTTAAGCATTCTACCAATATGTACAGTTTCTCCGAAACTAATAATGTCATAAAAAATAGGAGCAGAAGTAGGCCATTCAGACCAAGTCTGCTCTGCCATTCAATGAGATCATGGCTGACTTGATAATCCTGAACTCCACTTTTCTCCTTTCCCCACAACCTTCCCTAACTGAATAAAAACCTGTCTATCTTAGCCTTGAATGTACTTAATGATCCAGCCTCAACAACCCTCTGTGATAAAGAATTTCACAGATTCACTACTCTCTGAGAGAAGAAATTCCTCCTCATTTCTGTCTTAAATGTATTACCTCTCTTTCTGAGATTATGTCCTCTGGTCCTAGACTCTCCCACAAGGGAAAACAAACTTTTTGCATCTACCTTGTCAAGTTCCCTCATATGAAAGGAAGCAATTGATAAAGCAGCTAGAGACAGTTGTGCCAAGATTACTATCGGTATTAAATCTGACGTGCACCAGAGGTGTGCCATAACACATCTGGGTGGTTTGATTGAAAATATCTATAAGTAACTCTTGTGGTGTGGTGGTCATGTTCATACCCTCAAGCCAGGAGGCCTGGGTTCAAGTCCCCACTGCTCCAGATGTGTGTAGTAACATCCCTAAACTGGGTGGTTAGAAAATGTAATTTGTAACTCTGTAGCAATGTCCTGGAGTTGAGATAATGAATTTTAACAACCACAGTCGTCTTCCTTTGTGCTCATTGTGCCTCCTGCTGGCAGAGTTTTCCACCCTGCTTTCCATTCACTCCAGTTCTGCCAGGCCTCCTGGATGCTACACCCAGTCAAGTATACAGTGCAGAAACAGGCCATTCATCCCATCTGGTCTTTATAGTCTAAATGAGTATCTTCCCATGTTTCCACTTCACCTCATCAGAATATCCTCCTTTCTCCCTCATGTAATTATCTAGATTCCCCTTAAGAGCATTCAAACCATTCCCCAAAACCACCTTCTCTGACTGAATTTCACAGTCTCACTTACTAGGCAAGTTTCACTTGAAACCTCTGATTAGATTTACTTCATATCACAGTGAATTTGGGCAGATATTACACAATCACATTGTTTCAGAGTCAGGTCTAACATTAAGACCAGTCAGACTTACTTGGAGAGTACAATGTCAATCCCGACAGTTTCTCAGCCTTCCACTTCAGGACAGTTATAGTGACGGATTCTTCCTCTGCGATCTCTTCTTCAGTTTTGTCCTGTTGTGAGAGATAGTAAGATTCCACACTCCATAAGAGGAGGCAGTGGGATAGTGATAATGTTACTAGACTAATAATCCAGAAAATCAGGCAAATGGCAGATGGTGAAATTGAATTCAGTAAAATTTGGAATTAAAAGCTAACCTAGTGGTCACTGTTGATTGTAATAAAAATCCATCCAGTTCAGTAATGTCCTTCAAGGGAAGGAAAACTGCCATCCTTACCTGATCTACCTACGTGTGACTCCATATCCACAGAAATGCATTGACTCTTAATTGCTCAGAGAGTTGGGTAATAAATGCTGGCCAGCATTTCATGAACAAATAAAGAAAATGAAAACCAAAACCTTGATGTCTGTACCATATTCCAGACCAGGTTCCAGTCACCAATTATCCAATCACTGCTGACATACATTGGTTCCCAGTCCACTGAACTCTCTGAATTAAAATTCTTATCCGCATGTTTCAATCCCCTCATGGATTTGCTCCTCTTTATAACTGTAATCTCAGTCATCCAATTGACATTTCATAAAGTAGGTTTCTCAGTCTCTCATAGAACATAGAACATTACAGCGCAGTACAGGCCCTTCGGCCCTCGATATTGCGCCGACCTGTGAAACCAATCTGAAGCCCATCTAAGCATCTTCTGAGGTGGAGCATATATTTTTATGAATGGAATTCTAAGTAAGACACAACATTAAATAACATTCAGCCCCTAGCAACAACAAACTATCATATAAACATATGAGGCTTCGCTTCGCTTCACAGAGATAGTATGTACCAAAATAGGCATGATGCCAAGATGGAGATGTGAGAAGGGCCACCTAAAGGCTTGAATATAAAAGGCAAATTTTAGGAGGATATTAAAGAAGAATAGGGAGGCAGAGATATTTAAGGAGGATGTTCCAAAGTGAAGACACAGCCATCAGTTACTTGAGAAAGGATGTACTGGCACTGGAGGGAGTGCAAAGGAGGTTCACTAGGTTGATTCCGGAGTTGAGGGGGTTGGCTTATGAGGAGAGACTGAGTAGATTGGGATTATATTCATTGGAATTCAGAAGATTGAGGGGGGATCTTATAGAAACAAAATTATGAAGGGAATAGATAGGATAGAAGTAGAGAGGATGTTTCCACTGGCAGGTGAAACTAGGACAAGAGGGCATAGCCTCAAGATTAGAGGGCAGATTTAGGACTGAATTGAGAGGGAACTTCTTCACCCAGAGGGTTGTTAAACTATGGAATTCCTTGCCCAGTGAAGTAGTTGACGCTACTTCAGTAAACGTTTTTAAAGATAAGGTAGATTTTTTTTGAACAATAAAGGAATTAAGGGATACGGTAAGAACGCAGGTAAGTGGATCTGAGTCCACGAAAAGATCAGCCATGATCTTATTGAATGGCGGAGCAGGCTCGAAGGGCCGGACGGCCTACTCCTGCTCCTAGTTCTAAAAAAAAAATGGTGAGGCAACAGCTTTGAGGATTGTGGGTGAGACCAGGAGGCAGAGAAAAAGGAATTTGCAGGGATTATAAGGCCGGAAGAAGTGAAAGAGTTGAAGGGAAATCAGATGCTGGATGATGGTGGATAGGAGGGAATGTTAGATGCTGGTTGGGTCTGAAGGATAAAGATGTCAGCAGAATGAAGGGTCAGAGTGCTGGAAAGTTGAGAAGGCTGTAGGATTTGGTGAGTTGGCCACAAGGATCACAGTCTAAGGATACAGGGTAGGCCATTTAGAACTGAGATGAGGAGAAGTTTCTTCACTCAGAAAATGGGAAGCCTGTGGAATTCTCTGATTCCCAGACTCAGTGGAAAAACTGTGAAATAGCTACAGAATTAAATAAAAAATGACTGAGCAAATACGAGTTGCAACCTTTTTATCAGCGCTCAGGAAAGAATGAAACAAGATGTCTTGCACCCTAAACTTCACTTAGAAGCTAAATGCCCAGTAGAAATTTTGAAGGCTTTGAAGACTTATTTTGAACCCTGTATTAATGTCATGTATAGATGTGTTCAACATCAGGACCCAGGCAGAGGGGGGCAGTTGAACGGTAAGTAATGGCATTGACACATCCAACTGAATCTTGAGTTTGGACAACTGAAGTACAGAATCACAGAAGTTTTGTGATGTGGAATGGGGCTACTTGTCCATCGTGTCAGCACTGGATCTCCAAATGAGCATTCTGACTAAGTGCCATTCTCCGGAATTTTCTCTGTACCCTTAAACGTTGATTGTATTTAAATAATCATCCCATAGCTTCTCGCAGGCCTTGTTTGAATCTGCCTGCATCCCACTTACAAGCAGCGCATTCCATACCCAAACTAATTGGGGCGACATGGTGGCTCAGTGGTTAGCATTGCTGCCTCACAGTACCAGGGACCTGGGTCTGATTCCAGCCTCGGGCGACTGTCTGTGTGGAGTTTGCACATTCTTGCCAGGTCTGTGCAGGTTTCTTCCCACAGTCCAAAGATGTGCAGATTAGGTGGATTGGCCATGCTAAATTGCCCATAGTGTCTAGGGTGGAAAATACAGGGATAGGGTAGAGGGTGGGTCTGGGTGAGCTGCTCTTTAGAGGGTCAGTGTAGACTCAATGGGCCAAATGGCCTGCTTCCACACTCTGGGGATTCTATAATTGCTGGATAAAAATATCTTTTTTACATCACAATTTATTCTTTTGCTAATCATGATCCTTTTATGAGCAGGAAGAATTTCTTCCCATCTACTGTATCCAGGCCCCCTCATGATTTGGAAAACTTCAATCAGATCTTCCGTAAGCCTTCTTCTCTCCAAAAAAGTTCCAACTTCTCCAATCTATTTTCATATCTGAAGTTTCTCTTCCTTGGAACTATTCTAGTCAATCTTTTTTGCAGTCTCTCCAATATATTCACATTTTTCTTCCAGTACCTCACCCAGAACTGTACAGCATTACCTCCTTGAATCAGAGATAGTAGGAACTGCAGATGCTGGAGAATCCGAGGCAACAAGGTGCAGGGCTGGATGAACACAGCAGGCCAAGCAGCATCATAGAAGCAGAGAGGCTGACGTTTCGGGCCTAGACCCTTCATCAGAAAAGGG